TTTGTTGATATTGGTGGTGCACATTCACATGTGCCCCGGTGCACATAACAAAATGTATTCCACGCATGGATGGAAACGATAAAAGGAAACATTGCCTGGGACTATGAGAAGAAGCTGATTTTCCAGCAATGCTTTGTGATTACATTGGAGGGCGGAATCGTTTGCAGTGGGGACACCTGAACCATTTGCTGCCTGGTTCTGACTTTCTCATACTGCTGAGGGAGGGCTCCCTCCCCGTGGGAGGCACCTGCCTGGGGCTGAAGCCCGCAGCTCCACTGCACAACCACAGAACAGAAGTCCCAAGACCTGACAGATGCACCCGGTGCTTTTACGTCTGTAGATTATTGTCTGCAGCTCGGAGGGCCTGTAGGTTTGGTCACCCCTGATGTCTGCCTTCGTGCCATCGACTATGAGCTTATGCAAAGCATGGCTGGGAGAGATGGAGAGCCAGGGAGAGACCAGAGCACCAGTGCTTTGGGTGCAGGCAAGGGCTTTGCTATTGGCTGTGGTCACCACTTGAGTGCTTTTAGTGGGAACAGCCCATTAGCTTGGGGTGATGCAGTCGGTCAGGATTGGAGTCAGCACATAAGGCCCACTCACAGGGATCTGACCTGACAGCTGGGGCCTTCCCGGGGCTGCATCCACTTTTCGCTGGTGGTGTGAATGTTTCAGGAGCAGTCCCGGCTGAAAGGGCCTGTTTCTGTGCCCTGCTCCGTGCTCCTGTGACCCCTGTAGGCAGGTGGCAGAGACATGCTGGAGTCCCGGGGAGAAGCAGGCACCTGCCAAGCCAAGCCGGTAGTGACCTCTAGAAGGGGATCTGGCTGCTGAATGGAAAACGGGCCCCTGAGAGACTCCAACAGGTGCTAAGAATCCAGCACCTCGGCAGATTCACATCTCCTGATGCACAGGGGACTCAGACAGGAGTGGTCAGAGAGCTGGGGACAGGTACCAGCAAGGGCAAGAGCTGTAGGCACCCATGTTCTACCATTGACCCCGTAGCCACAGGATTTCCTTTCCAGCAGAGAGACAGGCACTGGTGCAGCTTCAGAGGCACTTAACTGCAGGGGGCTCAGACCCTGAGACACCCCTTAGGTACAGAGCATTGTGGGAATGGGTGTTTGTTCATATCAGTGCTAATCCATGTGAATACAGCCTGGTCAGACACAGGGTGTGCATGTGGGTGGGTGTTTATCTCATAATGGGTGGGTGTCCCAATGCCGTTAGTGCCGTGTACATGTATGCATGTGGCTCTGTTTGTACGTGGATATGAGTACCTTTGTGTCTCTGTATGTTGAGCATGTATGTATGCAGCTGGGAGCCGGAGTGCCTGCACTTTGCGTGTGTGTCTGTCAGCCTGCCTGTGTGAAAGGCTGCACATATGTGGTTCTCTCTGTGTGTGCCAGGGTCTCTGCCACTGTGTTTTTCGAGTGCATTGGGTCGTATCTCTGGTTCAGTGTGTTTTCAGGGCGGCTCATTGCTTGTAGCTGTCGTGTCTGAATTTGATCAGAATTCAGCCTTACTCAGAAAAAACAAGGTTTCTTTAAAAAGCAATCCATGGGAATGACAGTTTAATAATGTAACAGAAGAGAGAGGGAGAGATTGGCCCCAGTGTGTGTGTGGAGGGTGTGTGAGGTGGGGGGAGGGAGGAGCTCAGAAAGGTAAACAAACATCTTTTCCTCGGCACTTGAATTGCTGAGTGCATTTCCCAGTGGTGCAAAGGAAATGCCCCAGAAATTCAGAGCCTGTGGGAGGCTTTGATCTCCCCTTTTAAGGGGCTTAGGTCAATCTGAAGGGCTTGGGAAAGGGTGCCGGGCTTTTCCTCTTCTGTATTCCACAGGTCAGATTGGCAGAGACTCGGGGGCGGAGGGGGCTCACTTTCTATTGCAGTGTAGGGCATAGGTCACTGGGAGGTTTGAACTAGAGTCAACGGGGGATTCGCTATAACCTGGATTCTTTTAAAATCAAGATTTGAGAATGTTGGCAATTCAGACAGAGGTTATGGGACTGTTACAGGCTCAATGGGTGGGGTTCTGTGAACTACAGTGTACAGGAGGTCTAGTCTAGATGAGCATGAGGGTCCCTTCTGACTTTAAAGTCGATGAATCTACCCAGGGTTTCTTAGCATGTGGGCCCATCCACAGGGATCTGACTTCACAGCTGGGGCCTTATAGGGACTGCATCCGCTTTTCGCAGGTGGTGTGAATGCTTCAGTAGTGGTCATGGCTGACAGGGCCTGTCTCTGTGGTATGCTTGCCTGACTCTGGAATTGAGATGGAAAGCAACACTGGGTGCCTCTGGGACTAACCTGCTGCTCCAGCTCCCTGCTGCATAGGTCCTCCCTGCCCCTCAGGATAAGGGCAGCTCCTCCGAGAGGCCCCAGTAAAATATTTAACAGCCACAAGCCTCTCAGCAGCCTTATTTCTATTTCTGTCTTCAGCAAAAACTAGGTCACCTGATTTCCTCCCTCCCAGGAAACCTGCACAGACTTGGAGCGTGACCCTCTGGAACCCAGCAGCATCCCTGAATTAGGGGTTTAACACCCCGTTTCCTGAACCCTAAGTAATGCAGCAAGTAAACCCAGAAAGGGAGGTGGCAACTGCAGCAAAAATGTCTGTGACCCAGTGTGGTTCTCTGAGGGCTGTGATTTCCTGGAGAACATGATAGAAGCCCTTTAATAATCTCTCAACCATTTCCTCAACTGTCCTAATCCATTGACTAAACTGGGAGATTCTCTATTCAGTTCAGTGTGGTTTGGATCAAGTCCCATTACAAACACCTTACTAGGGAAGAAACCCAGGGCTGACTGCCTCCATTTGGTACATGTATGTATTTATTCATTGAGTTTTGTTCACCAATACAGTGAAAATGGCATTAAAATTTACAATGGGTCATTCTTAGAATGGCATGACTTTTTTTTTGCTTTGTTGTCTTCATAAAATGACACAGTATATTATTGAAAAGATGATAGTTTCTCATGCACATCAGACCAGAATAAGCTTTTTAAAAATTAAATTAAATCAAAGTACAAAATTAAAAACACCAACTCGGAACATCCCCCAAGAAAGAGGCATCAAATAGCCAGCGAGTTATCCAAACAACATTCGTAACCAGTGCAATAAGATCTTCTAAAGTCATTATGTTTCTACATGGTCCGTCAACAAAGCCATTGATCACAGTATAAGATTCATAGATACATTTGTTTTGTTTTTTGTTACTGATGCTTTGATGTGTGCAAAACCCTAACCACATTCAAGAAGTCCTGTCCAATACTGATATATAGAATTAAGAGAACCAACCATTTAAATTTCATTCTATACATTTTTTTTCTTTCTTATGGAAAAAATATGAACAATCTTTGATGCAGTATCTCAACATTAGACATTAGCAGATCATTTTAACAAAGATTCGGATATAAAAATACAAATATGAGGAGTTCTGTTAAAAAGAAGCGTGCCATAGTGGGATGACTAGTGGCACCAAGATGTGGCACCAGGACCAGGAAGCTCATGCAAAAAAGATGGAGCAAAAATGTCTCTCGACAGCAAAATGATCACTGTCTTTTATATTATAGTCCATCTGTGTCGGAACCTCTGCCTTCCATTCAGCACTGCTGGCTTTGGATTTGCTTCCGATCTGCTGGTATTTTGCAAACTGGATAGGGATGAGGTGTGGGAATGGATGGATGCATTAGAGCATGGGTGTGGGTCTGAAATACAGAAAGGGATGATCGCATACACAATGAGCCTGCTACAACTAGAGAGGTGTGTGTCTATGTAGGTGTTAGTTACACAGCCACTTGGCGAGAGACGGAGAAAGGTGTAAAGTGCATCGCTACAGGAGCCCTCTTTGAGATGAGAGCGCTAGGCGATCCTAAGGGCTCCGCGCTCTCAGGGGAACAGCACCTTGGCATCGTGGCTTGATGAAAGGGGAGCTGGGGAGACAGGAATAGGAGGGGAGTGGGTGCTGGTCTGGACAGCTCCCTGGGAGGGGTGCTGGAATGGACAGCTCCCGGAGGGCGCTGGAAGTGGTGCTGGAATGGACAGCTCCCGTAGGGCGCTAGGAGTGGTGCTGAAATGAACAGCTCCCGGAGGGCGCTGGAAGTGGCGCTGGAATGGACAACTCCCCGGAAAGGCGCCGGACGTGGTGCTGAAATGGACAGCTCCAGAGAGGGCCCTGGAAAGGACGGCTCCCCGGGAGGGCGCTGGAATGGATAGCTCCCTAGCAGCTGGCTCCTCTATTCTGCAGGGTGCTCCAGAAGGGTGGGGGGAGTGAGGGCAGGAGATGGTGCAGAAAAAGACGGGCATCTCCGGGGTGGGCTTCACGCCCTGGAAATCTGGACAGGGATGGGTGGCCAGGTCCCTTTGTCCCTTTGCTCTCGGCTGGATGCTGAGGAGGGTGAGATGGCCCCATCCGCTACCGCCTCGGGCTGGGGTCTGGGTTGGGAGTGGAAGGTGTCGCCAGCAGCCTCATCTCCTTCCTTTGCTTTCCTCGTTGACCACAGTCCAACAAACATGCACGGCCAAAAGTGCTTAAAATCAGTGATCAGAGTCTGCAGCTCAGTGCAGGCGCCTCCTCTGCCGACTTATACCCCAGAAGGCGACTTGTCTGTCATCCCCTTCAGCACCTCGTCTATTCTATCATCTTCGATCACCACTGCAGGGGGACAAGCACACAGTCAGGCTCTTGCCAGGCTAGCTGGCAGATATACCCTCTCGAGGAGCTTGGCTGGGGCTGGCAGGATTTGCC